AGTCGAACGCACAGTGGATGACCTGTTCCGTTGTTTTCTCTCACCCCCACCCCTTCAGTACCGTGAGAGACTTGAGGCGCAACTTTTATCACGCGCACGCGCGTGCACAAATTCACGCAGGCACGCACTACTGTTAACGCGGTTCGTACACGCAGAGCCGTGGACGACTTCATGTACGGTAACCACACGCCCCACACCCGTCCTCTAACCGCGGTGTCAACAAGAGCGCCCAGATAGTTTGTGTGGCCACGGACGGCGTCCGCGTAAGTTGCACCCGTATGGGCGTAAGCGGTACGAGCAAAGATCGAACCGGTTTTCAATGTGAAGACGGCGACGACGACAAGTGTGGGAGTTGTCTCTTTGACGGGATAATAAGGAAGGACTGCTGTGTGAGGTTAATGGCAGTTCCTCCATCGCAACAGCAGTGCTCCGTCTTGGCGGCGAATCGTGGCCAGAAGGGCAGAATAAATAGCTCACGGAAACGGCCACCAACTGAGGATGTCCCCCTCTCTGTCCCGCTGCCGCTGTTCCGTGGCGTTCGACGAGTAGAAGGAGAGGCTCAAGGCGGAGAAGGCGGCCGCCAAGCTGGCTTTGAAGGAGGCCAAGAAGCTCGAGAAGGAGGCTAAGGATAAGAAACTGCAAGACGTGAGAGAGAGGGGGGGGGGGGAGGGGAGGGGAGGGGAGGGAGGGAGGGAGGGAGGGAGGGAGGGAGGGAGGGAGGGAGGAAAGAGAGAGAGAGAGAGAGAGAGATAGAGAGAGAGAGAGAGAGAGAGAGAGAGAGAGAGAGAGAGAGAGAGAGAGAGAGAGAGAGAGAGAGAGAGAGAGAGAGGTGATAAGAATGGACCGGTGAAAAAAGGAGATGGTGGTGAATGAACGTTGCCAGCAGGATTGTGAATGTGTTCTGATTCTGCCTCGTGGCCTGCCAAAAATTTCTCAAACCTATCCGTCCTTCAGCTTGCAAACAGGTCTGCTTGAACGCAAAAAAACGATTGGACGTATCCCACAGACCACCCTATTTTCATTTTCTTCAATACTACTGTGCTGTACCCGCTGTCTTTGGGTGATGCGCTTCTCGGCCCTGTTCCCGTCGCAGATCAAGCAGCAGAGGTACGACGTTGCGGTGGAGCGTCAAGGCCGTCTTCTTGCCGCTGCCAAGGCCATGCAACTTCCTGGGAACCCCTTAGACCAGGCAAGCGTTTTTATATTTTTTCGGTACGTGTACATGGCTGGTTTCGAATGTTTTTGTTGTCCATGTGTCGGGGCATACTTAACCCCACCAGGGAAGTTATTTTTGCTTTCTTGTGCTAATTTTTTTCTTCGGTACTTCATGGCTGGTTTCGAATGTTTTTTGTTGTCCATGCTTTGGAATCGACATGAATGTTTTTTTATATGCTTAAACGAAGGCGTTGCGTCTGTTGGACCGGTACAGATGTTTGAAGGCACTGAGCAGACACCGGGACGTTGTTTTTATTGTAAGGACCAGAACTCTTGTTCAAAAAGGTACTCGGTGAGTATGACAAATGCAACTACCTGGAAACCTCATCGTACCAGACTATATTTTGTTTTGCTGTCGTGTTTTTGGCGGTTTTTCGTGTTTTCGTTTGGCAAGGCTCTCTTTTTACCTGCCGCGGAACCCCCGTAACGGGACTGATATAAGAGAGACGGTTGTCGTTGCTCGTAGATATTCATTCAAACGGAGGTGTAGGTGCTTCTTTCACTTCCCCATCACTGGTAGTAAAGCGATGAACATTCTGATTCCCCCCACCCCCTTTTTTTTTTCTTCAATTTGTCCGTTTCTGAGCAAGCAGCGACGACACACCTACTTTAACGTTCTGATTTTCCCCCCATTTCTCTTCATCCTGTCCGTTCTGAACGAGCAGCTGGTCAACGAGCTGGGGGGCGCTGGTGTAGTGGCGGAGATGACCGGCCGCAAGGGGCGCATGGTCAAGAAGCCGGACGGGGAGGTCGTTTACGAGAAGCGTAACGCCAACGGGATTTCCATGACCATGCAGGTGGGTGCTTTGGATGGTTGGGTAGGTTGGGGGGGGGGGGGGGAGGGTGCACATGATCACGCGTGAGGTAATCTTGCGACGCAACGACAGTGCTGAGAGTAGTGTACAGCAGTGCATGAAAGTCAACCCCCGCCGACGTTTTTGTCGGAGAAACCGGAGAGGGCGGTGAAGCCTTGGTACATGTGTTGGTTTGTTGCACGCAGATGGAATGCGGTTTTGTCTTTTATCTGCAGGAGGAAGCGAAAGCACCAGACGACTTTGCAGATCACACTTTTGTGTGGTTGATTCTGGGTGGATAGTGTCGTGTTCTTCAATCCATGTCAGGTCTGTTCGTGCTCTTTCGGGGGTTGAGCGTACATGTTCAGAAAGAGTCCGGGCGTACATGTGTGCATGTTTTTTCCTGATTTGAAACAGGGTGGTGGTGATGACGTATGCATAGGATGATTTCCTCTTGTCAGAAAGTTCTGAGGTCGAGAAGGGGTGCCCTATGTGGCAGCAACAAGGGTGTGTTTAGAAGGAAAGAGGTTGGGGTCAGGGTTATGTGGTAGCAACAGGGGTGTGTTTGGAAAGAAAGAACGGGTCCACCAACGAACATGGCGAGATCAGAACAAGACACGAAACACGAGAGGCTTGGGCAAACTCTCTCTCTCCGAACCCTGTTTCAAGCCAGGACAAGAATCTCCCCCTCCACATGTACGCGCCATCCATGATTAGACATGACAAAGACATGGAAACCCCAGCCGCATCTACCAAACCCTCGTCACATTGGTACCACCAGCGGTTACCAAGCAATGGCATCGCGACGGCGGCGGGGAGAAGTGGCGCAGCAACTGCTGCTGGTGCCAGCGTGATCAGTGTGTGGCAGATGGTGCTGTGCTCGTCGTGTTCCATGTCATGTCTGTTCGGGTCAACGCATGGTGGGCGCGAACATGTCGGGCTTCATGAGTTTGCCTGCTTTGAAGCTGGGCTCAGAGAGAGTACTTGCCCAAGCTCTCTGGTGCCTCCGTGTCTTGTTCTGATCTCTTCATGTTTGCTTGTGGACCCGATTGCTCCTTCTACTATAGCCATACCCGTGTTGCTGCCACATAGAACACCCCTTGTCGACCCCAGGAACGTTTCCCGGATTGTTCCCCCCCTGTCAACAGCGTCGCGGTCACAGCGCTGACCACCACAGCAGTGTGCTCACAAACGTTTAGCAACTGCCTTGGTGTTGTGTTTGGTGGTGTGACCTCCCCGTTGTCCTGTACGTGGGAGTGTTAGATTCGATCATATAACAAGTAAAAAATGTTAGGTGTGTGTATGTCCGTCCCATCTATTGGTGTACCGTAAGTTTGGCGTACCAGCCGGGGTCACTATAGGCTACTACTCCGAAGCAAAGGTGATTTGATTTTGTTATAGTTTCTGTTTGGGGAAGGTACTCTAGCGATCCCGTTGCCTTATCAACGGTAACTACAAGAGCCCGAGTTCGCCCCATCATTTTTTTGCTCATCTGTCCCGTCGTTGGTTTGACTGTTTGTTGTTGGTTTTTGTTTTCGTTAGGGTTAGACGTAAAATGGCTAAGTTTACCACCTTTTTTTTATTTTGTATCTGTCCCGTGTTTGGCTTGACTATTCCGAGGACAGAACGTGTTCGAGAAGGAGTGCTTCATGTCCGGGCAGAAGCTGGTGGCGATCATCTCCGAAGCGGCGTCGGCGGGCATCTCCCTGCAGGCCGACCGAAGGGCAAAGAACCAGAAGCCCCGGGTCCACATCACCATGGAGGTGCGTTCGCGTGTTGGAATCGCCCGCACTCATGAGCCTCACGATGTTACTACAGTGTAGTTCAGCTTGTGGGCGGCAAGTGGCCGTTCCTTTAAGGGTTTAGTGTAGCGGTTCTGAACCGTGCTCAAAAGCGGTGCTCAAGTTCCTGTGTCCGATAGCTGCCAAGTCTTGTGTCCAGTATCTGCCAAGTTTTCCTCGTGTCCGATGTCTGCCCAAGTTCTTGTGGCCAAAAACTGCCAAGTTCTTTTGTCCAAATACTGCCAAGTTCTTGTGGCCAAAAACTGCCTAGTTCTTTTGTCCAAATACTGCCAAGTTCTTGAGTCCTATAACTGCCAAGTTCTTCTTGTGTCTCCATCACTGCCAAGTTCTTGTGCTCGATAACTCAAGTTCTTGTGTCCAATAACTGCCAAGTTCTTTAGGTTGCCTCCTGTGTTTTGTTTTTACGAAGCAGCTTCCCCCGAAGCTAATGCAGAGGGGGTCCCTGTTTAGTGCCTGTTGAATAGTGCCGGTGTTTTCGGCGGGCACACACTGGGCAGAGAGAACGGAACGGATTTTAATGTGAAGACAACAACAACAACAACAACAACAACACACACTGAATTTCCAAGTCATCGTCAGTACTTTGAATAGTGCCGGTCCGGCATAGTGCCAGTGGATTTTCTGGGCGCATAACGGCACTAAACAGGTACCCCCTCTGCACGCCGTGCTGCCGTGTTTATTGCGTTGTGCCGCGAAACGGAGCAGCTTCCCTGGAGCGCGGACAAGGCGGTGCAGCAGCTGGGGCGCTCCCACCGGTCCAACCAGAGCTCGGCGCCCTCGTACAAGCTCCTGCTGTCCAGCGTCGGGGGCGAAAGGCGCTTCGCCTCCGCCGTCTCCAGCAGGCTGGAGTCGCTCGGAGCGCTCACGCAGGTTGGCTGTTGTTTGTCCGCGGGACCTCTCCCCAACCCACGTTTCCGATGCAACTTTTGTTGCTGTTTTTGGCTTAGTGGTGTGGTCGAGGCTTGCGCGGCTCATAGTCTTCCGGTGTGTGTTGGAGTGTCTGTCGCGTGTTGCGAAGCTCGGGGTGAAGGGTTGTTGTTGCGAAGCTCGGGGTGAAGGGTTGTTGTTGCGAAGCTCGGGGTGAAGGGTTGTTGTTGCCGTTGGTCGGAGCAGGCGAAAGAGCAGAGGTGCTCCTGTCGCCGTCTGCCGTGACGTCAAGCTTCAGGCCGGGTGATGCGAAGTAGGAACTGTCACACGACGCTTCGACTTCACTGCCAATCTGTCCCGGACTCTTTTCTGTGGAAGAGATGAAATTTGTTTGTGTTCCGCAAGAAAAAAACAAAAACTAGGCACTCGCACCGTACACGAACTTGCGGCGTACACAGTTAAAACCGTTTCGATAGAGCACTTGTCTGAACCCGTGCCCACCGGTCCCGGTGTCCTCGGTCACGCGGCCCCCGCGCCTCTCCCGTGTGTGCCTCCTCCCGTTGCCAGTTGTCTGCTGCTTTGTTGTATGGTGCCTGTTTGTTGTCTATTTATCTGTCGTCCGTTGCTTGTTGTATGCTGCATTTCCAAAGGGAGACCGGAGATCTGCCGGAGCGCACGGGCTCGGGCTGTCGGCCTTCAACATGGACACCAAGTACGGCCGCCTGGCCCTCGAGAAGGTGCTGCTGGCGGCGATTCGCCGCATCCAGCCGGAGGTGGTGTTCCCCGCCCTGCCCGAGGGAGAGGACACCAAGGTTAGGAACACACCGTACAGCAGTAACTGTCCGTGTCGCTCTGAGTAGTTTTGTGGCAACAAGTACGTGAATTTTTTTTTGTGTTGTCTGCAAGGTGGTACTCTGAGTAGTTTTGTGGCAACCAGTACGTGAAAAAAAAGGCGTGCTGTCTGTGTAAGGTGGTACTCGGAGTAGGGTTGGTGGCAAGAAGTATGTGAAACGGTGTGCTTGGTACAACGCGGAAGGGGCTTCGAGAGCGAATGTGGGGTTGGAGGGCATGCCGC